TACCCTTTAATTCTCTGTCCCTCATTCCCAGAATGTGTAATTTATCATTTTGAGTCATGGGAAGCATCTCATCATTCTTACAAAGCAGCTGTATTACTGCATATTTTGTACTGATTCTAAACATTTTTCCCATCCAGTTATTTATCAAACTGTGATCTACTGCAGCCACAGAGAATCGTTTACATTTAAAAAAGAAAACTGCTAGGTAGAAAAGTGAATTTTTCTGAGTTATTGTCTCGGATAATATCAATTATATAGCAATGTATATTCGGAGAAATTTGAAGAACCAATGAAAGTCTCTTTGGCCCATTATGTTTGTGCAGCTGAGAAACAGTTATGCAGTGTAACCACACTTTCCTGTTCTTGGTCCAGTTTGTTGATTACACCTCTTCAAGAGCACATCCAATGTTCTTTTTTTTAAAAATGCAACTAGCAAATCTGCCTCAACCGCACTTTCAGTCAGTGGGTTCCAGACCAACATCAACTCCGAGTGAAAAAAATTCTCAACCCCCTGTTTTGTCAATGAATTTTGATTTGTTTCCTTTGGATATTGGCCAGTCTTAGCAAAGGCTATTCAAAATGTTATATTCCTCAAGAAAATCTCCTCTATCCTAAACTCTATCCTATCCAATTTTTCTTAATTACACTTCTGTATTCTTGGCAGCTTCCTCATAAAATTCTTTGATGTGGTGATGCCAGTGTTGGACTGGGGTAGACAAAGTCAGAAGTCACATGAAACCAGGTTATAGTCCAATAAGTAAGTCACAAGCTTTTGGAGCACTGGTCATTCATCAGGAGCAGGGGGGTGGGTTGTGGTTTGAGCACAGTCACACAATATACCAGCAGAGAATGTAATTCTCACCTGATGAAGGAGCAGTGCACTGAAAGCTTGTGATTTTAAATAAACTATAACCTGGTGTTGTGTGACTTCTGAATCAATCTCTTCAATTGTCTCATTAGTGAGATCACATTTTTCTTTTAACACGATGGGTACAACCTGTACCTGCAATGTAACTTGTGTTTAATCCAACTTTAGCATAGACTCCTTGCCCTTATATTCCATGCCTCAGCTGATAATGGAAAATATCTAGAATGCTTCCTAAATGCCATGTCCATCTGTCATGTTGCCTTCATGTGGACTTGTGCATCAGGTTACTTTTAGTACTCTGTATCTTACAGTATCTTACTATTTAGTGCACATTAATTTGCTTTAGTTGTGCTGCTCAAGTGCATTACGTCACACCTTCACGGACTGAATTCTGTTTGTCACTTCTCTGCCCAACTAGCCAAAAATTGATATCTTCTTGCTGTCTACGATTTTCTTCTTCACTGTCAGGAAGAGTTCATTTTTGTGTCATCTGCAAATTTCTTTATGACGTTTCAGTTTAAATCATTAAAAAAAAGAGCAAAACTGAGAGAGAAGGAATCTAGTACGAAGCCCTGTAGAATCCCACTGGAAGCACCTTCTGATCTCGTATAGGTTTTCATAAGTAATACCAATAATCTTGTTATTGTCAACTTGAAAGAAAACTTGAAGTTCAAAAAAGCCTGACTGTTGGCTCATTTATCTTTTATCTGTGCTAGTCTCAGCATGTTGTTCCAAAAGGCAGTGGAAGCTAGCAAAAACATAACTTACTGAAGGTTTAGGTAGATGTCATATGTGCAACATTCTATACTATAACATGACACTAAATAGTAAGGAACTTTACCTAGATCACTTGAAAAACATTGGATTTTCAGTCCTGAGTGGGGGAATATCAGTGGGACATGGTTCATCACCACTACCAACACACACCAAACTGCTAACCTGATCACTACTGGTCAGAGCCACGTGTAATTTGTAGGAACAGACTAATTCACTATTTCAGGTGAATATCTTGAATAAATAGCCTGCATGTAGGGAACAGATACCAATGTACCACTGTATGATTTGTGCTACTTTAAAGGAACAGGAAATCACAAAAAGGAATTTACAGCAGAGCAGAATATTTTTCTTTGAAAAAGATCATATCTAGCAGTCACCTTCCAGGTTCTCAAATGCAGCTTTGAAATTGCTGTTGGTAGAAGCCAGACGGAGAAGCAAGATGAAACAGCATGGACCCCCAAGGACATCAGTACAGTGGAAATCCGAAATGGTGTTCAAATCAATCAGTGCTAACACAAGAATCACAAACGCAGAACCATGCAGCAGAAAGAAATTACGTGAGCTCACAAGATCGCCAATGTAAGATTATGCAATCACAACTTTTGGGAATGGAGGGTACTAAGTTTGTCTGTCTCTTTTCATGATGAGTTGGAGTTTTGAAATTGCTCACCACTAATCCAAGAGGCCTGTTACATTGTTCAGGCTTAGAGTAAATTCCTTATTCATTTGCCTATGTATTATCATTAGTTGCAATATCATTTGGTTAGTATGCATGGCAATACTGATGCAACATATTACGCAATTCACAGATGATAGGTATGTCATTGGTTCTAGCTTTTCTTCTAATAGTCCTGACACTTTCTAAACTTTATCCCAAATCATCAATCCTAGCTGAGCCCCCACCACCTTATTGCTTGTGTTCACTTATTAGTTTTTTTTCCATTTTGTCTTTGGATGCAAGAGCACTGAACACTGAAGTATGGCAATTTGATTTACAATTTTTGCATATATTGTTTTTCTCAATAAAATAAAATTTGGGCAAATTTGCTATTTTCACTTTTACTTGCTGTAGCAGTAGCAACATTTAGAGCATGCTTAATGTAACAAAATATGTTGTGACAAATAGTGCTAAATCCTGTGATTTATTATTACTTCCTCTTTCTTTGAATGGTGGGAAGGTTGCTCGCCTTCACCAAAATGTTTTGATGGTACTTCATTGCTCTGCTTGCCAACATTCGTGGCAGTACACTGATAAATTAATGCTCCCTCTGTTGGCACTGGACATTTTTTCCGAACAAATGACCACTTTGCACAGATATTAAACATTTTTTGATGTTTATAGTGGTTAAGAGGGTCATTCGCTGCTTATAACATGTTCAAGAATAATTACCACAGGTACATTTGAGACTCACCGTTTTTTTTTGAACACAGTCAATTTACATTTTCAGAAATTGTACTATTGGAAGCTTGTCTTCCCAACATTTAGCTAATGGCTTAGTAATTGGGACAGAACATGTCTTCCTCCCATTTGCATCATTATTCAAAGAAATACAGAGGAGTTCTGCTTGGTATTCTGACCAATTTATATCCTTCAACCAATATTGATAAAAGAAGAAATTTGCAATTGTCTCAGATTTTGGAGCACTACTGTGTTTTCTAAATCACAGCAATGCTTACCCTTCAAAAGCACTTCATTGGTTGTAAAGAGCTTTGGGACATCCTTAAGTTGAGAAACAGGCTATAGAAATGCAAGTTATTTCTTCCTTCTTGCTTAATTCGGTGTTGCACACTGTTTCAGAGTCAGCTTCATTATTGCCCCCCTTAAGGATATTATTTTCCTCTCTTCACTCAGGAGAGTGTATTATTCAAACACAATATAACATTGTTATTCATTTCAGGTCTTTCCTTTCATAAGCAGTCAACAAAATAATGCTCATAAAATGAGAATTGATATCTATTAATCCATTTACAAGTGAAATATGCGAGAACTTTACTTTCAGGTTAATTACTCTTCATAGGGTATCATAAATCATGATTTACATTACATCATGAATGTTTGCATATAAAAATATATTGAAGTGATAAATATATTAACAAATCCTGTACACATGGTTTATGAGTTTCATTTTTTTACGCTGAATATTTTACTTTCAATTCATGCTTCCCACTCTTACTGTGACTGTGAAATTAAGATATGTTAATTTTATTAAATATGGCATTACAATTAATTGTCTCCTGCAAAGAATCACCTCTTCCCACTATTTCACCATTACATCTGGTGTATCCCAAGAACCTGTCCTTAGCTATCTACTGATTTTTACCTATATTTCACGCTTCAGCAACTTCATCTGAAAATATTATGTCAGTTCCCACGCTTGAACTGATGACATCATCTCTACCTGACTAACACCTCTTGACTACATCACTGTTTCAAAATCATCAGACTGGTTTTCTGAAATCCCATACTGGATAAGGAGAATCTTCATCTAATAGAATATTAACAGGACAGATGTCTTCACTTTCCTATCACAAATCTGTTCCATTGTCATTGACCCCATCCATCTCCAAGATATTCTGCCTGAGGTTGGGACTGGCTGTTAGCAAGCTTGATGTCACAGTTGAGATAAATTCCAACCATAAACCTTGTCATCACTAGAAGTGTCTATTTTTAGCTCCCTCCTCAGCCCATTTTCTACCAAAAACCTCAACCACAACTTTATTATGTTTGCACTTGACTTTTCCAATGTCGTTCTGGCCGGCCTCCAACATTCTACTGTCTGAAAACTACAGATTCATCTGCCCTTGTCTTACACAAAGTCACATTTACCTATCACTCGTGTTCACTGATCTACATTAGCTCCAGCTTAAACAGCATCTTAATCCTTTCCTAGTTTTCAAATCCTTTCATTGCCTGGCCTTCCTTATCACTGCATTCTTCTCCATTCCTTATAACTCTCTGAGATATCTGCATTCCTTCAATAATAGTTTCTGCAGCAACTCAATTTTAATCACCCTATCATTGCCTTCAGCTGCCAAGACTTTGAGCTCTGCAATTCCCTCCCTAAACCTATTTACTTCTCTTTTCTCTTCTAAAATGCTCTTCAAAATCTCCCTCTTTATCTAACAAAATTTAACACAGTGCTACAAGGATATATTAGGGAAGATTGGATGAGTTTGCTATGAAATACCTTGAGATTTTCTACGACGTGAATGTGCTACCAGAATGCAAATTTGTTGTGCAGTTGAAATTACATGAAAATTAAAAATACTTATGTTTTTACACGTATAAAAACCTATTACTGCAAAAAAAATTCTTAAGACAACATTTGTAACACAAAGACGCAGAATGGCCTACCGTTATTGTCTTTATTCGACCACCTGGTTGTGTACAGGTCCAGCCTGACTTATTCATTAATAAGCCACAGATTTCTCCTTCTGAGCAGGGGATCATTTCGCACCACTGCTTACTCTTCACAACTCGTACTGTAAACAAAAAAGAGAATAGTCAGACTTTACCGCAAAATTAATTACAAAAACGCTCTTCTAATGAATGCATGAAGGAGATTGTATTGTATAGCAGATTTACCAAATGAGATAATTATAGATGAGGGATATCATTCTGCTCATCTGACTCATCCATTTACAAGTATCCTACATGCCATTCCAGCAAAAAGCCACACTGTCACACTTGTTAGGATCCTGAAAACCCTGTTTGCGTTCAAACCAGGCTAAAGTGATGAAAAAGGCAGAAAAAAAAGCTGCAGATGCTGTAATCCAAGGTAGACAAACAGGAGGCTGGAAGAACACAGCAAGCCAGGCAGCACCTGGAGGAAAGGAGCAGTCAACGTTTCAGGTATTACCCTTCTTCAGGATAGAGACAAAAGTGATGAAAGCCTTCTCTCTTTGTTGCTTGTCTGTGTCCCAGATAAAATGTATTTGGGCTTTGTAATCCAATCCTAGTGGATGTGGGCACACAGTAAAATCTGCACATAATTTGTCACTGAATTGACAATCTTCTGAGTTGGCTAAGATATGGCAACTGTGCAAAGTGGACAAAGCAAAAGTGATGCAGTACATAATGTTCTTCTGAGGTTGGCACTGAGGAAGATGATCATGTGAAAATGGATAAAAGATTACTCTGCACTGAGCTGGGATATGATGAACTAAAAGTGTTTGATTCTGAGACTGGATGGCAAATAAGACATGCTTATTTCAGCAACAATGATGCACTGCAAACTTGATGACCTTATAAAATATAAATTTTCTTTTGTGAAATTAAAAGATGATACAAGATAGACTGCTACTAGCAAATTGTAAATCAATTCCTTGCAACACTCAATATTCTCATCATGTAACATTGACTCCATTGGAACTTCAAGGTGTCTGTCCAACTCACCAGCATCCTAAGTATGCAAGATTACAAACAGAAACCAAGAAAAAGACAAATCTATTTCATTTTCAAAATTTAATTATTTTATGTAATGAGAAAGTTAGACTGTGAGTTAAGTTATTAAAGGTGCTGAATTTCACCCCATTCCCACTAAAAGACCAGGGAGGGTCATCTTAAGGGACAATTGGTTCAGCCACAGCCCTTCTGGTTCAGGACATTATGTCTCATAGAGCTACTGGCCAAAGGCAATCTCCAGCACTTTGGGACAGAAGCATATGGCATTGGATCAGGATTTAAGTTACTTTGGGTGTCTCACTCAGTGCTAAGCTTGCAGGCCCTGATAAAAGTGGTAGGGAGTTGTATCAGGTTGAAGTTACTATTTGGGAGGTTGCGGGGCGGGGGGGTGCGGGTGATGTGGAAGAGTGAGGAAAACCTGGATGGGGAAAATCTGAAAATCCTGTTTAGGGCTGTCCAATTCATCAGGGAGCAGGATGAGGCCCTTAAGCGGGTGTGAATTATCCACTTAAGGGTCTCAATCAGTCTATTGGTGAGTAGGCCACCCAAAATAAGCCCGAAATGGGCATAACTGTGTGCAGGAATGACGCAAGCAGACAACTGCTGGCTTTAATGAACCCCTCTGTTGCTAAACCCATCAATGAGCAAGCATTAAGTCCAGCACTGTAATGCATAGCTAGCAACTTGAGCTTTGCTCTCAGCATGTGGCAGAGTAAGTGATTAAGACCCTGTACAAACTCATTTGACATAAGTCGAGCTTCATACATTCTTATCCTTTCTTTTATACATATAAAATTGCGGCAAGTCTTAAAATGTGCTAAGGCACCAAAGATAAGTAGCACATTCCTGTTTGCCTAGACCACTACTGTGCTCAGCACTTGTGGTATTAAGACTGGCTCAGTTGATAGGCAGGGATACTTGCTCCGGAAGTATAATTGGCACTGTTCTATATGTAGTTCACACCAAATTTCATTCAGAGTATAGAAGCCCAAACAAACTCCATTTTAGTCACTGTTGTAATGTGGGAAACACCAGCCAACTTACTCACGTGATCAAGTAATCAGTGAAGCCATTTCTTTAATTGCAGGACATGGGCATTACTGGCTAGGCCAACATTCATAGCCCATCCCTACTGAAAGTCAATCACATTGCTGTGTGGCAGAAATCACATGTAAGCCAGACCAGGTAAAGCTGGTAGGTTTGCTTCTGTATTGATTGGAACCAGGGCAATGTGGATCTCATTGAATATGAGACCCTTGATTGGGGTTGTTAACCTGGGCCAATCAGGGAGCCCTGGCTGACAGATATAAACAGGAATTTCAGAACATTTCCTCAGTCTAGGGACTGGCTCTGAGCTGGCTGCTTAAAGCCTATGTACTGGGCAAATGTAAGGAAAGGGTGACTTGGTCATGGAATATCAGCCACTGTGCAGTTATTTCATCTCCCTGAAGGACGTTAGTGAACAAAATGGGTGTTTCCAATATTGGTTTCATGGTCGTCAACATACTTTTAATTCCAGGTACTTTTTACTGAATTCAAATTTCAAATTCCAAATTCCATCTGCCAGGCAGGATTCAAATCCATGTCCCCAGAGCATTAGCTGAGTTTCTGGATTCACAGTCTAGTGATAATACCACTAGGGCATCGCCTCCCCTCAGTCATGTTCAGTGAAAGGTAAGAATTGGCCAGGCCATCAAGGTAAATTCCCGTATGTTCTTCAAAATAGTGCCAAGGATCTATTACATTTACCTAAGAGGACAAGCGCAATGCAACATTTTTGTCAAAATACAGCAATGCTGTAGCTCTCCTGCAGTACTGCACCAGAGTGTAGGCCTTGATTGTGCACTCAAGTTTCTGGAATGAAGGCAAAAAAAGTAAGAATCAAACCATTCTTTTTATTATCAACCCCAAACAGACAAGTTCTCAGAAATGCCTGATGACTGGTTATACAAAGTCACATGATGCAACATTCAGAAATACATTAAATCAGAATTGGTAATCCTTTGGCTGTTGGTGGTGACCTGAGTGGCATGGCAATGCAATAGTCCAGACTCAAATGTGAAAGCTGAACTTTGAAAAATGATGCCAAATGCAGAGATAGAAAGGATTAAAACAGCAGAGAGATTTATCATCAACTTTCTTGTTCTACTAGCCACAAAGTAGAAAGGTAAATGAAGTGAAAGGAGATTGAATGTATGCCTTTAAATAAACTAAGAGTAATCATTGAAAAGAGCATACTGATGCACAATTTATTTGTTCTTTAGAAACACAGGTATTTATTTAATCCAAGCAGACAAGTGGTTGCCAATGTCATCTTCATAACAAAAGTGTTTAAGCAAATTCAGTTCATTACTTCTGAAGATTGTTAGTTTGAGAAACCTTTATGAAAATATTATTACTATTACTTTTTCTCACTAATGCAATTGCTGGATTCAGAATTTCATTATAAAAAGCTGCAAAATTAAATTTCATATAATTACAAAACTATTGTATTATGAATAAATGACTTTCCATTCTTCCATATAATGGGCTGATTTTAAAAGGGGGTGGGACGTCAGAAACTGAATGCCTAGATAATTTCTTTCTCTTCTCCTCTTAAGGTGCATATCAGATTTGCAAAGTAACATTTTTTCACATAATTACAACAGTATCCATGCCTTGACATCAAAGGGAGCTAGTTAAATTGGTACTTGCTTAAAACAATTAGGAAGTCTTGCTGAAAATCAACAAGATTTTGCCAAGGATCTGATTTTCAAATCATTTGCACCTCCACATGACTATTTGCAGAATGCATTTTACCTTGAAATACGTCCTCAGTGTCAGTCTGGCTTGCGTTAAACTACGTACAAAATTGTACATACTGGAAATCTCAGGACAAAAGTGATCTTCTGATAATTGAGCCATAGCTCTTACTGATGTTCTCTCTTTCTATTGAACACAGAAAAACAGACGGATTTCTATTTAAAGCAACTTCAAAACAAATAACTTTCCAGCTAAATGATTTCAGCCCTTTGTATCCTTGTGATCATCTATTTATGCTTGTAAACTTGACTTTATATGCTGTGATGCCCTTGCTTTAATTGAGGAACATTTTTACTGTTTTATGTGTAGTTTTTGATTAAAACAGGTTGTATACAAAACAAATCAATGGACAACATTACTATGTTCTGACTTTGAAATGAAAACTGCTTTTTTGTAAAAGAATGAAGCTAGATTAACTTACACTATTTAATGCAAACACAATAAAAACAAAGTAAAAAGAAAGATTGTGTGTGCATGTGCATTTCTGTGTAGGTTAGAGTCAAACCAACACACTGAAGCAGAAAATTTAATTCACTTAGCACCACTTCTAGCAGCACTACACAGACTACGTCGATTCCCCATGGCCAGATAGTGCAATAGGCCACATCCTATGTGGCCAGTGTGGTTTTCCTCTTTGATAAATGTTGCACAGGCTGCGTAAACAGTGGCTCGTGGTGTTTCTTGGGGAATCAAAATAGCCTGTGTAGCACCATTTGAAGCAGAGATGTGAACAGCTCTTTAACCCTGAGAGATTAACTGTGAAAACAGCTTCAGAAAAAAAATCAATTAATCCCTTGCTGAAATTTAGAATTACATACAATGTATAGAACGGAAACAGGCCATTCAGTCCAATATGTCTACATCATTGTTTATACTCCACATGATTTTCAAGGGTCATAGTTTTTAGTTTAAGAAATATATTAATTTATGATACACATCTTTTCACTTGATAATTATTAGGTCACATACAATATTGATCTCAGCTGTATGTGCTTCAGTATGGTTATTGTATATAACATCATGGTTAGATTACAGACAGGTGTTCAAAATGAACATCACATCAGAGAAACACTGCAAATTCAATATACAAGCAAACTCATTGCTTAATGCTGTGTGTAAGCATTTTTCTTTGGCTGCTTTAGTCATTGCTAACATTTTTCAATTGATCTTATCTTTTGACAATATTGATGTTTTGCTGACACAGACCTCCCCTTGTGCTGTTACTGTCCTGTGCTTGTGTTAACCTTTACAGTGATTGTTGAGACTACCAGTCTGC